TCCCCGGGTCATCACTCTGATGAACACGTACAGGTCTCTATAAGTACTTTTACTCTTATTTATTTTATTATTTTCTATCTCTTTTTTAATGCACATTCCCTTGCTTGTTGACATGTATGTACACATTGAGAGCCGCTGTACCAGAGTCAAATTCTGTATGATCTTCATGATTCTGAAGGTGTATCATGAATTTCTGTCACCACTAACAAACGATCAAGTCAGTGTGGCTTTCTGTGATTAGTTTATACTTTATAAATCATAGGTTAAAGATTTTAATTCACAATGACTTGATATTAGGGGTGTGACGATACACTCAGCTCATGAGATAAGATGATACACAATATTGGGTTCGCGAGAACAAGACGAGATTTTAAGTTGGGCTGTCCCCTAATAGTCTAGCGGTTGATTCGTTAGTCTCGAGACTGTCAGTTGACTGAAACTCTCTTAGTTGGCCCCCTGTTTATATTCTAACAGCAGCACTATGCCATCTGACATAACACCATCTGTAGGAACAGCAACAAAGGTCATGCAATGTCTGCCTCCCTTGCCTCATACCTTCCAGAGATTTTGAACATTAGATATTCTATATGTTAGCCCATCTGTATGCACTGTCTTGCGATGTGTCACATGGTCCAAAAACAGCTTAGAAATCTTTTACGGGGTTGTTGCCTTTCTGGGGAGTTTCAGAGACTATGCATTACTCAGACTACATACATGACAAGCTGATAGTCAGTGCCCAACAGTGACCTAACACATTAGCCAACAAATTGAACCGTGTGTCCAAAGACGGGGTTTGGTACTCAGTATTGCACTTACATTCCTAGTGCAGATGCCAAGCTAACTTTCATGAGCCATGAAATGCATGACCTCCAACTTGTTTTGATGCACGCCCAGTCATCACAGCGGGACCTGCTCTCCGAGTTCAGAGAAGCGTTAGGAGGGTGGGGGATGTTTTTGCTAAATCTTGTGATGCCTGTGCTGATCTTGTGCTGTTTCCCAAACTGTTATGTTCCTATCTTGAGATGATTTGTTGCCAGATCTGTCAGTCTGCTGTGGAAGCGTGCAATAAAAGTAACACTCCAGCTCTGCCCCTCGGACTTAGAGAAGGATAGAGGTGTGACTGATGATGATCAAGATAATCACCTTTATTTGGCCAAGCATGTTACACACAAGGAATTTGTTTCCGGTATAGATACATAAATATCAATCATTGATTTGGGAGGTGATTACAGAAATGACAAGTGATTGTCATCTTGAAAAATGACGTGACTGACTAATGACCAGGTTTCAGTCCAGATTTGCACATAATCAGCTCCAGAGGAAAGGTTCATTCAGCTGCTGCCACCATCTCATCCAAGGTGATGTTGGAGTTAAGTGTAGTTGACTGTGCTTCCCACAGCTGAAGGGGGTCTCATCAGGTCAGGTCGAGTCTGAGTCTCAGTTCTCAGCACCTAACAGTCTGGTGCACAGGCCTGTAGTCGGCGTCATTAGTTGAGCTGTCATGGCCTATCAGGCCATTTTAATCTCATTGCCAATTTAAAAGGAGAGTATTTTGGAACATCTGTATTTTTTAAAGTGATTACTCCTCTGAAATAATATTTTTCTATTATGAGAGCTTGAGCCAGGCTTTTGAAGCTGAGGCCCATCACCTCTGGAACTTCTATCTTAATGGCAAGGGCAGGTAAACCCTACAGACTGCACGTGAGGCAGTAAAGTGACGATCTTCATCAACTGAAAGTAGTATTTCCAGAAAACAGGCGATTGTTTCATCTGAAGCAACAGGGTGTCTCTGCTTTTGAATACCAAGTGAATAACCTGTACCACTGAATACTGCCCCAAAGCAATCAGCATCCACATTTTTTCTTCAGTAAATGCATGTCTAGTTAAATAGGCTTGATACAGAAAAAATGAACTTATAATTGGAAAAAGTATAGTTTACAACCCTTTGTTCAACATTTTTTTAGATCTTTATACAATGGTAGGTAGCCTATGTTTGTTAAATAAAATATTTGCATTTATTGCAAGTCTTACATAAAATTAGAGATGTTTGAAATTGTTTAGAATTGTTAGAAGCATGTAGTAAAATATGTCAGTGCAGTGAAAATGGCTGATAAAGTGACTCCATACAAGGATAATAGTATTTTTCCACCACCCAAATACATTTATTTATTTACATATTGATAGTTTAAAATCCAATATTAAGGATTCCAATCACACACTGCTCTCTGGTTTACAGTCATTTGTAAGAAGATCAGAATACATACATTTGTCTGTACAATATTTGTAATATATTTCTTAAATCATTCTGATTATGCATTAATAAACTAGGATGAATTTTATAGTGTAAAAAAACCTTCAACACCTCCTACAGTTATAAACTATCCATACAACACTGTCAAAGGTTCCGTTATGAGAAATTATATCTAAAGCAAAATTTGTATTTAGTCCCAAAGATTAAGTTCATACTTTATCTCAAACTGTGATTATCCGTCATTCTGATTCTGTAATAATGTACTGTTTTGTATGTATAATCCAAACACCCCTTTTAAATAATGTAAATAGTACTTAATTAAAATAATAGATAATGAGAAATCAATTTTCTTTTGACAGTGATTAAACTTAAAATGTTCTTCCCTGTCTCTTGTGTGTGTGAATGCATGGGTGACTATAAGATGTTCAACTGATCTGTAACACAATGCAGCAAAAACAGTTTATTTCTGGTTCTGCAGCAGTTCATCGATCTGCATTTTGTACATGTTCTTTACATCTTCAAGGTCCAATCTCAGCTCCTCAGCCTCCTCAGCCTTTTCTCCATACATCTGCAGGATGGTGTTGTGCCTCTGCTCCAGATCCTGAAATGCACAGCCACACAAATTAGCAGAACATCAGCTGAAACACAGTAGCACAACAGAAGAGTCTGAGAGTTGTAATTAAATGTCTTCTGATACTACTGTCAAGATTTATAGCCCTTACCTTGAGCTGAATTTTCAGTTTAGGGATCTCCTTCACCTTGTCCTCCATGTCATCATTTTGATTGGTGAGTCGAACCAGCTCTTCCGCAATCACAGAGCGACTCCTCTCCAGACTAGAGATTTCAAGCTACAACAGCAGGAGGAAAGAAAGTGGTCAGTAAATACCACTCACATACAGCACATACTGAAGCTGCCATTTGTTGCAGGAGTAGAATTCTTTTTTATTACATATCAGAATGTTCATTTTGCTGTTGATACATCTGGTCAGTCTTTTAGCTGCACACAGATGGTGCTGACATTTATGCAGAACCATCAAACTAATAAAGTCTTATTCAACTTTATATGGGTTTGTTCTGAATTTCTACCTGTAGGTGCACTATCTCTCCTCTGAGCTTAAGCTGAGACTGGAGGTTTTCTATGATGCTGGAGCCTCCAGACAGTCTGGCAGCCTCATAGAGATTGGTCCCACTCATTGATAAAGACGTGGTCATGGTACCCATTGAGTGGTCTAAAGAGTCATCCTGGGGAATAATAAAACAAGGTATAAAACCATTCATGCTACAGAAATTCAAGCATGTACATGCTAATTTTCTAGCCACTTTAACATTTTCCCCAGTATGTACCTGGGAAAGAACAGAAGTATGTAGACCAGTGTTGTCCACCCCACTGATGGAGCTGGTGTGGATGGACAGGGAGGGTGTGGAAGAAGCTGGGGGCTCTCCCACAGAATGGGCCATAGCTTTGCGCTCCTGCCAAGGAAAACATTTTCACACTATTAGAGAACAGAATGAAAACATCTTAACTGCTTGCATGCAGAGTGAAACAACTGTCTCTGCATACTCTGAGAAAAATAAAAATTATTAATATTTTCTAAAAAGTTGAAAACTCTAAACCTTTTCCTTCAGTGCTTCTTGTGCTAAGTAGCATTTCTTCTCTTGCTCCACTTTCATCTTTTCCATCTCTAGTTGATTGGTCAGTAGCAGCTGGTAGGAGAAGCAGAAAGCGCATGAGGAAGCTGTTTCATGCAGCATATCAACAAGAGTAGGAACAAGCTTTATGGTACCTTTTCCTTCTTGGCCTCTTCCTGCATTCAACTGTGCTCTCCTCACAGATTTTCCAGTTCAACATGCTCCCTACAATAAGAAAACAATTAGTCACTGCAAATAATGAACAGCATTAATGACACAAAACTAAGTGAACAGGGTGTACAATCAAGGAAAATGCATAACAGTGTGAAATGCCGTGGTAATTCCCTATGATCTTTACTGCTGAAGGTGGCACAAGGTTTCTCAAGCAACGCCGAGCTTAAATATGTTCTGCTTTTTTTACTGCTATATATAGATGATAGGGTGTAGCGGCATTTAACTACAGTATCAAGATATACTTTTTTTTCCTTTTGTGCTACATAATGCTGCTCAGTAGTGTATATAATTAACATTTTTCAGAATGAGATAAAAGTATGCGAGCCGTTCTGGTGCATATTAGTCTCATATTGTGATGCGTGTGTCTCTTCCTACAGGGAGGTGGTGGAATACATGGTGCAACACTTCAAGCCCCAGCTCTTTGGTGATAGGAAGCCAGTGTATGACGGCAAGAAGAACATCTACACGGTGCTAGCACTTCCTATTGGGAGTGAGAAGGTAGATGTTTGTACTGCTTTGCTGTTACCACAATCTGATGACTAAATTTGAACCTTTTCACCTGTTTTTTTTTTTTCCTACTCTGAAACACTATGATGGTGGAGTGGGGGGAAAAAACTAACTGCAGACAAAAACACTGTCATCATGGAAACTGCCACAAATAAGTCAATGCATGGGAAACACTGTCTTACAGTTATCACCAACCATGCACATGTTTACAGACACGTGCATCAGCTCATTTATTCAACCCCACAAAGATATAATGATGATGGCTGGTTGACTAACTCAGCCTAGCAGACTCAAGCGTTAAACTGTATTACCTGCTGCTCTCAACCTCTAGTTTCTCTCTCTTGCTCCTCTCAGCCTCCAGATGTGCCATATTATGTAATAATAGTGATAACAGTAAGGTCTAGACCTTACTTTGTAAAGTGTCCTGAGATGACTTTTGTTGTGATTTGGTGCTATACAAATAAAATTGATTTGATTTGATTTCTCAAGCCTTATTGTCCAGACTCCAGTTGGTCCAAAACGCACCAGCTTGTCTTTTAACTAATACACGGCGTCAGGAGCATATCACTCCAGTTCTTGCCTCATTACATCCGGCGTATGCCTTCGGCCACTTGGTGAAGTAGTCCATCACCACCAAGACGAACCGGTTGCCAGCTGCAGTGGTGGGAAATGGCCCCAGGATGTCCACTCCGACTCGCTCCATCGGGGCCCCCACTAGGTACTGTTGCAGCGGGGCTTGAGAGTGCTGGCTAGGCCCCTTCTGCGCTGTGCAGACGTCGCAACAGTGTACATAGAGCTCGACCTCCTGCCGGTACCCCGGCCAATAAAAACGCTGCCGCAGTCGTCTCACGGTTTTGGAGTTGCCGAAATGGCCAGACCCAGCTTCCCCGTGGACCCAGTGGAGAACCTCTGACCGGAGAGCGGAGGGAACCAGCAGCTGCAGATGGGCAACTCCATGTCCTGGTG